TATCTCGCTTTGCATGTAATGCGTCTATCTCATATCTTGGTTTCACCTTTTGAGTTGCCATGCTGACATAAATGAACATTTGCACAATATTCTAATTTTTCGAGTTTCACCTGTATGTCTTTCTGTCCAAGTAACTTTTTAAATACATTTTGTTTATAGTCTCTTTTTCTAAATATACTATGTGCCTTTTTAAGTTACAAATTGTACTTCAGGCAAGTGTGCATGATTCATATTTTAGTGAAAATGTCAGGCAGTTGCAGTGAATTATTACCACATACATATCAATCAATCTGTGATAGTTGGCTAAATCTCATGCTATTGCTTCTGCAACTTGATATATCAACTTCTGTCAGTCTGGTAGCTGAATGCAAAATTGCATTGTTTATATTACGCTAACTCCCTAACATTGTTTGTCCTTGTGTTGGTCAAAGTCCATGATAAAGATTTATTCAGAAAAGTGAGCATGTATAGTTTAGGAAATATGAACTGGAAAGGTCATCAGTAAAATGGGCCTAAATAATGGTTTCCACCTCCTTAACTTTCACTGAATAATTGTTTCCAAGATTAGAAAGTGATAACTGAAGTGAATGGTGTGTATTTGAGACTAAGTTTCTAAATTAGAATTCATTGTTCCCCTTCCAAATTGATTCTCCCCCAACACACACCCAAAGCAAAGTTATTGGCAAAAGTAGGCTTCTTCAATAACTAAAATATTTACACAAATCTTTCCTATCAACCTTCCACTTAATGGCATTCGTCACAATAGCGATTTTAGGTTTTCTTGAGAAGAAAGTAAATCCTAAGGTTTTATCCCCCAGTTTTGAAATAATATATATATTATTATTTATTTATACATATATTATTTATATATATTTATATATATAAATCACACATACACACAGAAACCAAGTCCTATATGAGATACAGTTTCCTAAATTATGCCTAACAGAAAGTTGTCTCTATAGACTTTATTTGTTCTGGTGAAAATGGCTTTGGGTTTGTTGTCAAGAGTTCAAAGCATGTTGTATGGGAAGGAGATGAATTGCGTGATAACCTCTTCATATAAAATTTTAAAATATTTATATTTGCTATAATTAAAAGTTACTTTAATATAATCAAATAATTATTCAACATTTCATAGATTTAATAGAAAAATATATATTAATACACTTAAGAAGAAAAACACCAGAACTTTTTGCTGGCTGTTCTAAAAAGTATATTTCAAAGAGGGAAGAGAATGCACACACTTAAATCACACACAGACTAGAATTTCAAAGAAATTCATTTATATTGAATCATCCTTTTCAGAGTACAGTCACTTCTTTATTGGTGTGCTTTTGATTACTTCTTATGATTTATGAGTGTGCAGTTCTCAGCAAGCACATTCTTTCTCATATTTTGCAACAAATGTATTAGATGGATACCAGTAACTCATCATCCCCCTACTGTAGCATAGCAAACCCTGAGAGTAAGCAGTGACCCAAAAGTGATCTAACAAGGCAAAATCATGCAAACATTAAACAAAATGAAGCGGTGTAGATCCACTTCAGGGAAGCAGTTCAGGCCATGGAGACCAAGAAGCCCATGCATTTCACCTCAGCAAAGCAGTGCGGGTGGCCTGGAACTGCTTTGGGCACATGCTGCAAGAGAAATCTCCTGTCAGCCTTTTCCTAGAAACATGATGAAGAGCTTCCAGGCTGGATAGCTTCGAGGTGGACCATTTTCATGCTACCGCTACCCAGCTTGGAAGCCTTGTAAGGTCCATAGCAGTCACCCAGAATTCTGATTGTGGAGAATATGCTGCTCATCACTGTCCCTGACAACAGGAGCTGGGGGGCTGCAGATTGGCTGTCTTCAGCGCTGGCTCTAGGGTAATCCTTGGAAGATCTTTGGTGCCTGCTAGGGAGACCTGTTGAAGAAGTCTCTCCACATTTACCCAGAGTGCAAAACTACATATAGCTACTTTGCTTCATTCTTAGAAGCAAAAGGAGCACATTGCTTCACAAAGGAGCATCCAGGAAGTAATTCATTAGATGCTTCATTGAAGTGAAGCACATCTTCAGTACTTTGCATAGCCCTAATAGATGTAATGTGCCTTTTACCCAAACTAGCTCTCTTCGTACATTACCCAAAATAATGCTCATAAAGAGCATTGAGCAAGTTATCTTAAGCATTAATTGAAGGTATTTGAACTATCTGGATTGTTTTAAATCCCCCCATGAATTTACCTAAAAGATTCTTTGCAAATTGCTGTTCAAGTCAAAACGTTGCTGTTGTTTGACTTCAGGCTACTCAGAATATTTCAATACAGGATTTGACATTGGCAGGATTGTGGAAATTCAGAGTGCAATGATACAGTGGTGTGTGTTATCCATCACAGACCTTACTGCAGAGAAGATGCAACACTGACATTTTCAACAGTAGTCTGCTGGTGAGATCTGAACAGAAGTAATTTGGCCTACCCTCCCCAACTCAGGGGTTGTCAAATTGTGATGGAAATGCAACTCTCAGTAGTCCTTGATGGCTAGGAATTCTGGGAGTTGCAGTCCCCAGTACATATGAAGAATGTTGGTTGGAGAAATTTGGTTTATCCTATATAGAATCTATACTCCAGTTGAAATACTGAGGGTTAAAACTAGTTATTTGTTTCACATTCAACCCTTCCTACAAATACAAGTTGAGGAACACACGCATTTCATTTGTGAGAATGATCAGACTGCAAAAAGGTTTGCAGCATTTTAAGGCAAATCGAACTTCTGCGGGTCTTGCATTCCCTTGGATGTGGTTTGTCAGGGAAAAATTTGGCTTCTGTTTAGAGTTTTGCAGCTGGATATGTCTGTTTCTGATAAGTTTCTCCCTGAGCTTTATCATGAGCCAGTAGTACAAAGCAGCAAATTTTAAGGTGAGCTGCTGTTCTTAATTATTTTGCCTAAATAGTGGTCCCAGAGAGGTCTGTAGGTGTTCAGGTCTTTTGGCAACCAGCCTACCTATTTAAGTACC